TTTGGTTTTTAAATAGAACAATTTAAATATTATAACTTAGAAATATAATTTAAGATGATTTAAACAAACTAAGATAATGAAAATGATTTCAAGAAATATAAATAACTAGGGCATTGGGGACAATCAATTCTGGTTCAATTAATGTTTAATACAATCAAATTACTCAGTTAAATGATTTTACTAATTAACTCCTTTGGTGGTTTAAACACATTAACTCTCATAATATGTGAATAAACATAAAAGAATGAATTATATAAAATGATCAACACATAAACAATACGCTTCCGAACATGTTTACTCTAAACAAGTTAAGTTCGATCAATTTCTCCCCTCTCGGTTTTGAAATTGATTATATAGATTATAATGGTGATCAAGCACTTAATCATGAAATGGATAAAACTTGTAAAGATTGAGATTACTGAAATGCTTATAAACGATAATTAACCAAACCGATTATCCCCTTACCCTAGTTAGGGAATTAGTTGATCATGTTAATAGAACCAAACAAATATTCTTGTAAATAACTCATCATTAATGAAAACGAAAATAGAACTTACTATTAATGAACAATCCGCAGAGCAAATGCAAACTTAATGTCTTCAACACACTTCAATAATACAAACTCAAACAATAAAAGATAGTGAAGAAACAAGTAGAAGAAGAAGAAGATAGATGTTGAATTATCAAGATGATGATGATGAGTCCTCCTTTTATAGCACAAGTAGTCTCCCTTGTAGTTGTAGTTGGATGAGAAAATAGCTGAAAATCACTCCTAACATGATGCCTAACTTCCACCTACTCAACCACAAGTTCAAACATAGGTAAGAAAAACAACAACCTGCAGTCTGCCAAGGTTAGCGGCGCTAACCCTTCTTAGCGGCGCTAACATGGGTTAGCGGTGCTAACCCTTCTTAGCGGCGCTAAGGTGGTGCTGAAACTAAAAAAAATCCTTTTTCGGCCTTTCGAGCTTCGGCTAGTGTCGTCTACGTAAAATTCTTGACTCTCACATCTTTGATCACACGAACCAATATCAAACTTCTCAACTTGGATAAAGAGCATGATAACCGGACAAATATAACCTGAAATCAAAACAACATAAAAAACACGAAAAATATAGAAAAATAGGAAAATAAATACCAATCACACAAAAACACACAAAACAACTAAATGGACCGAAAAAAAAACTCAGAGACAACCTAAAACAGAAAAATACTCAACAAAAATACTAATAAAAATAGCAACAGAACTGGAACAAACAGGACTTGAGGTTGTCTATTTGGTGACACCCTTCGATGGTGACCAGATTGGCTTTCGGCGGTCATTTCATGATGTATAACAGGAGGAATATTAGTAGCTTCATCCTGATGTGTTTCCCCCTCCAGGCATTGGTGGGAGGCCCGACTATGCGGTTGAGAAGTAGCATGTGAAGCTTCTTGCCTGGCCCCTCGTCCTTGAATCTCCGGGATATAAGGATTACCGAGAGTTGGTTGAATAACAGAACGACACGGGACAACAACTGAAGTTCCTAGTATAGTTTAAGCCAACAAAGTGGCTAAACCTCGCGCAAAATCTGGGTTCTGAAACAGTACAGTGTAATCTGTAGGGATAGGACCCATGGTAGTTCGCCCAGCTGATTGGGCCGTCCCACGGTTGTGACCGTCCCTAGATATACGACCGCGATGTTCAGATTGCGACATGTTGCAGATGTGAAGTTTGCTATGACTCAGATGTTAGGTGACTGTGTTGATGACAAGAGATTAACCTCAAATAACTTATGAGGCCCCTTCCTCTAGCGCCAAACTGTTGTTATGTGAATTACAACAACGGGTTTATTTAGATGCAAGATCGATTTGTATGGATAATTAACACAAAACATGTAATAAAACAAAGACGATGGCCTCGGCCCGAGGTGAACCGAGGTGAAAGCTGTTGGAGCAGTTTCGTGTTTATATGGCAATGTTTAGAGATTTTTTTTGGTACAAGTATGAGAAGATGCTATTTATAGTAAGCTTTTTTACACTGACTACGAGATATGTACGGTAACTTTTTTTATAAAGTGGTTTTTTGGTGGGCAGTAGCATCAGCGGGGCCCACTGGAAATGATGGTGTTAGTCTCGGTGTGCGAACATGTCTCGTAGGTGCCTCGTCACCAGCTTTGTTTTTGTTGACCTCGGTTTTATTTGATCTCGGAGTGTTGGCTGTTGTCGG